CCGGGAGAGTGGGTACCAGGGATTGCTTAACCACAGAGCAACATCCCCATCCCTTTTTATTTTGAGACAGGGTCTCACTAAGTTACTGAGGATGACTTTGAACTTGTGAGCCTTCCTAGTAAATCGCTGGGATTATAGGCCTGGGTCACCATGTCTTGACCTATATTTCTAATATGATCAGAATGAAAAATGACTTATCATGAATATAGCATGATAAATTTTAAAATTTCTTTGGACTATAAACTGCATGTTTATTTTATCATATAGGCATCTTATGATGGGCATCTTTCCATTGCTATGGTGAAAATCTCACTGGATCTGTGTTTTAATTCTTTCTTTAATTCTAACTGTTGACCTTGGTGTGCTAACCTGTTTTTGCATCAGTGTTTGTATCTGTTAAATGAGGTTGTTGGACTGAATAATTTCCAAGCTTTTTTTTTTCTAATTTCAGATTCAAACATTTTTATAGTCCAGTAGATGCTTGACATTATATTTGAACCCACAGAAGTAGTAATAGAATATAGTAGAAGTTGCATTACTGTTATGAAGTGGCAAATGCAACAGCATTCAGGGAGTTTCCAAGCCTTGACTAGAGGTGAAAGAAATCTATGGTGATTTCAAGAGATTGTGAAGTAAGAGTTTGCTAGATTGATTGTAGTTGGACTGTGTTACAGTCTATTAAGTCAAAGTCTATTCGATTGAAATGTAAAAACTTGCAATTAAGGTGAAAATGTTCAAGTCCATTGTAGTGGTAATGAAAATCTTGATTTGGGCCATGCTCAGTGTCTGACAATAAGCCTGCCATTGTGTGGTTAATTTGATATGTTACTGCTTTCTAACTTAAAAATACCCATCAGTGAATGGACAAGTGCCAATTTTTATTTTAAGTATTTTAAGCTGAGAATATAATTGAATACATAAAGGAAAAGATGACTTAAGAAGGCAGTTTTATCTTGTTACTTTTGGAATTAAACTAAAAATGATCAGGCGGTTAGCTTCTTAAAATGATATTTTAATAGTGTGTGGAACATGTTGAATGATCTGAGCCAAGACTTGTTTTAAATAGATATTGCAAAAGATTTTTATACACTGAAATATGAAGCTTTTAGAAATTAGTATTTAAAACTCTATTTAAATAGCCGAAGAAAGATGTTCATCGTCTCTATAGAGAAATTGTGAAGGATGTTATTTGTCACATACTACTTCTAATCTTATTTAAGTATACTGTATATTTAAGTAATATAAGTATATTCAAGTAATACA